AGAGAGAGAAAAGTCTTCCATCCGCTGGTTCACTCCCCAAATGGCTGCAATGGCCGGAGCTGCACCTATCCGAAACCAGGAGCCTGGAACTTCTTCCAAGTCTCTCATGAGGTTGCAGGGGCCCAAGACTTGGGCCATCTTCTACTGCTTTCCCAGGCATTGGCAGAGAGCTGGATCGGAAGTGCAGCAGCTGGGAATTGAACTGGCGCCCATATGGATTGTCGGCACTGCAGGTGGTGGCTTACCTTATGCAACAGCACCGGCCCCAACGATCCTAATTTAAAATCATTTATGCGGCTGGCATTGTGGCATATCAGGTTCAGCTGCTACCTGCAATGCCAGCATCCCATATAGGCACTTGCTCAAGTCCGAACTGCTCTACTTCCAATCCAGCACCCTACTAAGATGCCTGGGAAAGCAGCAGAAGATGCCCAAGTGCTTGGATCTCTGCATTCCAGTGGGAGACCTGGTTGAATCTGCTGGATCCTGGCTTCAATCTTGCCTAGCCACATCCACTTGTGGCCATTTGGGGAGTAAGTCACTATTATGTGATGGAACAATAAATGTCTGAAACATGAGGAACTTCCATGTTTCATTTTTTAAAAAAGATTCATTTATTTATTTGAAAGTCAGATTTAAACAGAAAGAGAGGAGAGGCAGAAAAAGAGAGAGAGAGATAGAGAGAGAGAGGTCTTCCATCTGCTGGTTCACTCCCGAACTGGCCACAACGGCCGGAGCTTTGCCTATCTGCAGCCAGGAGCCAGGAGCCTCCTCCAGGTAACCCATGTTGGTGCATGGGCCCAAGGACTTGGGCCATCTTCCCCTGCTTTCCCAAGTCATAGCAGAGAGTTGGATCAGAAGTGGAGCAGCTGGGTCTCGAACCGGTGTCCATATGGGATGCCGGCACTGCAGGCTGCAGCTTTATCTGCACAGCACCGGCCCCTCCATGTTCCATTTTAACTCAATAATGCAGTTCACACATTTTATATATATATTCTTAATTATAATATTCTTTATATATATTCTCTCTCTCTCTCTCTCTCTCTCTCTCTCTCTTTTTTTTTTGAGAGTTAGATGGTGAGAGAGAGAGAGAGAGAGAGAGAGAGAGAGAGAGAGAGAGAAAGGTCTTCCTTCTGTAGGTTCACCCCCCAAATGGCCGCTACGGCCGGTGCTGCACTGATCCGAAGCCAGGAGCCAGGTGCCTCCTTCTGGTCTCCCATGCGGGTGCAGGGCCCAAGCACTTGGGCCATCCTCCACTGCCCTCCTGGGGTGCAGCACAGAACTGGACTGGAAGAGGGGCAACCGGGACAGAATCTTGTGCCCTGACCCGGACTAGAACCTGGGGTGCTGACGCTGCAGGAGGAGGATTAGCATAGTGAGCTGCGGTGCTGGCCTTATATATGTTCTTTATTGCATATAATATTGATTATAAGAAATCTTATGTGTAACATCATTGTAATTCTTAATTATGTATATGGAATTATATATATAACATATATATATATATAATATATATAAAATCAAGCTGCTTAAGAAAAGTAGTGTGTGAAGAGTCTGTGTTGAAAGTATATAGGGGCCGGCGCCGTGGCTCACTAGGCTAATCCTCCGCCTTGCTGTGTCGGCACACCGGGTTCTAGTCCCAGTAGGGGCGCCGGATTCTGTCCTGGTTGCCCCTCTTCCAGGCCAGCTCTCTGCTGTGGCCAGGGAGTGCAGTGGAGGATGGCCCAAGTGCTTGGGCCCTGCACCCCATGGGAGACCAGGATAAGTACCTGGCTCCTGCCATCGGATCAGCGCAGTGCGCCGGCCGCAGCGGCCATTGGAGGGTGAACCAACGGCAAAGGAAGACCTTTCTGTCTCTCTCTCTCTCACTGTCCACTCAGCCTGTAAAAAAAAAAAAAAAAAAAAAAAAAAAAAGAATATAGGAAGATATATTGAAATTGATCTATATTGCTCTATTGCATGTGCAGATTCCTACCCCAGGTCTTGTCACTATGTCAGAGCCTTGTGTCAAGTGGCATGCTATCCATTAATTAGTTGTCCTAAGTAAAATTACCTGAAAAGAAAATTGACTAGAGGTGCATAGTGGGAGTTCAGGAAATTGAAGACGATGGAAAAGGGAGCAAGAGAAGAGGAGAGGAAGGGAAGATAGTTTTTTATGAAGAGACCAAAAAGTTCTTGGAAACTGTATTCTCTTTAATTTCATTTGTCCATGAACAGTTTGAAGCTTATTTTAAAATCAATCGTCACATCCCCAAATAAGTTCATCTAATTTACTATTATATATCTGTTGCTAAGATTTAACAATTTTCTTAGAGGAACAAGACAGTGATAAATCCTGTAAGAGTTAGGTAAGAATTCAGATCCCAGTGTGATGAGTTTGAACACTAGAGAGGTCACTTCTAGGTTCCATTGACTCTGATGGCTTTAAGCCAGAGTATATGCTAAGATGAGCTGTCAGGTGAGTTGAGATTTGAACATATGGGGAAAGAAGAAAGGACTTAAATAGAGTGAATTAAACTTGTGAAAACACATAGTTGAAGGATTCATATGCATAGAAAAAATAGACACAGTTGTAGTAAAATTATTCATTTAGTAACTGCTAAGTTAATGATATAAGTACTGTCTGAAACATTAAATGCATTTTACCTTGAAGTCTGTTTGAATGCTTCATAAATCTTTTAAAGTATTATATTATTTAATTCTTTAAAATGATTTTGTGGTCCATTTCATGTTACTCCTATTTTTCATCTGATTGAAGAAAAGTTTAGAGAGATTAAAACCACTACTCAGTCAAACAATTAATAAGTGGCAAAGTCATAATTTGAATTCCATTGTTTTAAGTCATTTCAGTAGGCCAAAGCGTTTCTCTAACATTGAAATCTTTTTTTACAATGCTTGAGTTGGATTTATCCCATTGAACATGTCTAAAACATCTAGAAAATCTGGGAGTGTAACACATTTAATGTATAGTATTTAGAGAGGGTATGAAGCATTAATGTTTCACTTTGGCTCTATGGGTCATAGTAAACCGTGTCATGTACTTTACAAAATACTCAAGGAAGCAATCAGCATTGTAGTTAATGCTGCATACACATTTGTGGAAGTCACTAACCTACAAAAAAGTACTTTCCATTTTCAAAATTATTATTTATTATTTTGAATTTTCTGTAGCAATGTTGAACTCTGGATATGGAATTTCTTTAGTCAAGGATTAATATATGCTTTTTGAGAAATCACAGTTCACTCTAGTAATAACGATTTTTTAAATCTACAAAATATGTTTTTATTAAACTTTAGAAAGAGTAGAAGACATCATGTAAACAAAAGTAACATCTTAAAATGGTATATTTATTTAATTTTTTGTTTCTCTTCTCTAGAGGCTATTTTTTATGTTGAAAAGATAGTGGTTTCTGAAAGGTAAAATGTTGTCTTAAAAATTAAAGGAAAATCCATATTTATAAGAGCATTAAAACTGTGCCACTGTACCTTCCTTTTAATGGTTTATTAATAAATGCTTCAGAGAAAAGATATAACAAAACATGAATTGCTCATCTTCTGTTATTTTTATGCTCTGGAATACATTAAGCATGCTCAAATATGCATGGTGCTGCATAGAAGGTATAAAAGTTGGAGTGATGATTTAGGGTATACTCTCATGTTGGATTCCTAATAGTAAATACGTGCAAGTGGGCCATCTGTTTCTTTACTAATGGTTAAAGGGAGATCAGTAATGTTCAAGCAAGGATTGAGGAAGGGAATTCTTAGTTTATTGTGAAGAAAGTCCAACATCATGATTCATATATCTATGTGATAACTCTCACTGCTCTTCAAGATTTAAAAATTTCTTAATAGATTCAGAATTGACAATCCCAAGTACAATTATAAAAGTAACACTTACAGACAATGCAATTATTAAACTGGGTAATATATGGGTTAATATATCATAGATTGGGAACTCACTAATTATATGCTCATTGTTGGAAAAATGTTTCTATAATGAAGAATCTGGTTGTGAGGCAGATTCTAAGTTCAGTAAGTGAGTTCAGTAGGGGAGTGATCTTTTGTGACCTCCTTTGCTTCTAACAAAATAACTCATTCATTGTTCTAACCTCACTTTTTGTCCTCGTATTTTTAATCAAGTTATATTTTTTACAAAATGGACTCATACAATTTATGTGTATTTTTGATGGTATTTGTACAAAGTATAACCCTTGGGGCCGGAGCTGTGGTGTAGTGAGTAAAGCCACTGCCTGCAGTGCCGGCATCCCATATGGGTGCCAGTTTGAGTCCCCGCTGCTTCACTTCTGGTCCAGCTCTCTGCTATGGCCTGGGAAAGCAGTAGAAGAGGGCCCAAGTCCTTAGGCCCCTGCACCTACATGGGAGACCCGAAAGAAGCTCCTGGCTTCTGGTTTCAGATTGGCGCAGCTCTGGCTGTTGCGGCCAGTTGGGGGAGTGAACCAGCAGATGGAAGACCTCTCTCTCTCTCTACCTCTACCTCTACCTCTACCTCTACCTCTCCTCTCTCTGTGTAACTCTGATTTTCAAATAAATAATAAATAAATCTTAAAAAAAAAAACAAAGTATAACCCTTGAAATCATCACCATAATTAATATAGGTACCATGGTTACCATGTTCAGAAGTTTACTCCTGGGCGTTATAATAATTTCTCTCTTCTCAGACCTTGGGTTATATATAATTGGAATTTGTTACAACAGTTGGTATTTTACTTTTCTTTAGTTTCGTAGAAATGAAATAATATATTATGCTTGGTTTCACTTTTTCGCAGTATGTTTTCAGAATTTTGATTGTTCTGCATGTATCTATAGTTTCTTTCTCTTTCTTACTAAATATTTTTCCATGTTAAGAATTGTCATAACTTATCAATTCACTTATAAATGGAAATTTGGATAGTTTCCCAATGTTTAGTTCTTATGCATAATACTGTTCTTGATATTTATGTATAAGTCTTTGAAAGGATGTATGCTTTCATTTTTCCCAGGTAAACAGAGTACCTATAAGTGGAATTTCAAGATATTATGGTAAATATATGTTTAAATTTTTAATGAGACGCCAAAATGTATTCTTAAGTGGTCTTGACATTATACACATTTATTAGCAATTCATGAGTTCCAGTTACTACATGTGCTCTCTAACACTTGCTCTGCCTCAATATTTTTAATTTTAACCAACCTAATGTGTCAGAAATGATCTCTTATGATTTAATAGGCACATCCCTCATGATCAATGGTGTTGTGCATATTGTTGAATGTTTGTTGACTGTATAAAATCTTAATCTGTAAAATTTATGTCTTTTTGAAAATGGAGTATCTATTTTCTTAAATGAACGGCCTTCAAAGAGTTTATGGAAAATGTGTGTATTGAAAAAATTATGTATGAATTTTAAAAAATTTTGTGCCAGATAAACATTTTAATTGAATTTTCCGTTGAGTGCTCTTATGTATTTATTTCTCTTGGATAAATATCTAAGCACTGATAGGTTGTAGATACATTCATGTTAAATTTTTGAGAAAGTGTTAAACTATTTTCCAAAGTATCTGCAACATTCTTCATATCTGGTGGCCAAGTATGAGAGCTGCTGATTCTCCGCATCCTTGCCAATATTGTTTATTGTCTGTCTTATTCATTTGTTACCCGAGTAGACATGAAAATTTCCTTTTACTTACTGACAGTTATGTTCACCATCTTTTTCAATGTGCTTATGTACCATTGGTACATCAACTTTGGTAAAATTTCTCAATATATTGACTTTTTTAACCTTACTGGATTATAACAGTGATTGTAAATTTGCAAATTCTGGGTACAAACCCTGTGTTGGGTATGAGTTTTATTTTATCTTCACTTTTTTATCATTTATTTTTATTGTATTAAGATTAACTTGTATACAATGTTTTGCAAGGGAGAGTGACAGGAAACGGGGGAGGGGAGAGAGAGAGAGAGAGAAAGAATATCTTCCACCCACTGGTTCACTTCCCAAATGTCTGCAAAAGCTGTGGTTGTGTGAAGCCAAAGTTAGGAACCCAGAACTCCATTCAAGTCTCCTATCTGGGTTGCTGCTGTCTCAGGTGCATTAGCAGAACCTTGGATTGGAAGAAGTGTACCCAAGCCTCAAATGGAGACTCTGATATGGGATGTAGGTATTGTGAGCATTGTCTTAAGTAATGGTGCCACAAAGCCTGCTCCTATTATTTTATTTTAAAATATATTGTTTATCATGCAATACTTAAATATTTTGTGATATTTAGTAAAATATTTAAACACAGAGATTAATAACATAAAATAACAGCCTCTTTTTCACTTTTTTATGGTGTCTTTGCACTAGAGGGTCTAGCAGAGCAGTTAAATGAGAAAAAAGGTACACCCAATTGTAAAGAAAGTAAAACTGCCATTATACACAGACAACATTATATATATAGAAAATCAAAAATGAAACTTACATATACATATATTCACATATACACACAAAGTAAGAAAATATGAGAATTGATAAATAAGACAACAAAGTCACAGTATATATAGTGTGCATTTGTATATAAGCAATGGCAATCCAAAAATGAAATCAAGAACATGATTGTTTCCGGGGGCTGGTGTTGTGCAGCCAGCTAAGCTGATATCCCATATGAGTGCTGATTCCAGGCTACTACTCCGCTTCCATCAAGCTTTCTGCTAATGCATCTGGGAATGGAAGGCAACAGAGGACGACTCAGGTGCTTGGATCCTGGGCACACACGTGGGAGACCAGGATGGAGTTCCTGGAAGCTGGCTTCAGCCTGACATAGTTCTGCTTGTGTGGCCATTTGAGGAGTGAACTGGCAGAAGGAAGATCTCTCTCTTTCTCTCTGTCTTTGTCTCTACCTCTCTCTGTTGCTCTGTCATTCAAATAAGTATCAAATATTTTGAAAAATACAATTCCATTAAAAAGTCATCAAAAGCAGTAATCGTATTTAAAAATAAATTAAATGAAAAACTTCAAGACATGGACGCTGACAATTTTAAAATTTGAGTGACGGAAATAAAAGAAATTCTAAATATATGGAAAGACATTCAAATGGATTAGAACTCATTAAGTTGATATTTTGTTTAAATGGATTGACCTCAAAGCACAGGTGAAGACTGTGACTCTAGTTAAAAGAAAATAAAATGTGTCCCTAACACAGAAAAATAAAATAATTTTAAATGATATTCTATAAAGATTAAGAATTCAACTTTGAAAGAAAAATGATCATTACCTCTAAAAAGATATTTGAATTAATTAAGATAAGTTAGCAAAGTCTTGTATTCTCCTTAATAAAATGAGAATTATAATAATATCATATAAGAAGTGGGGGGCACTCTGGTTAAATCGGTAAAGCCACCATCTGTGATGCCAGAATGCCAAATGGACACTGGTTTGTGCCCAGTTGCTCCTCCACCTCTGATCCAGGTCTCTGCTAATGGCCTGAGAAAGCAGTGAAAGATGGCCCCAGTGCCTGGGCCTCTACTCTGATTGTAAGACTCCACAATAAGTAAACAATTGTCTCTCAATATTTTCAACTTCTGCAACAAATTTGTTTCTTTTAACATTGTTGTTGGGACTGGTGCTGCAGCATAGTGGGTAAAGCCGCCACCTGCAGTGCCAGCATCCCAAATGGTGCCTGGCTGTTCCCCTTCCAATGCAGTTCTCTGCTATGGCCTGGGAAAGCAGTAGAAGATGGCCCAAATCCTTGGGCCCCTGCACCCGTGTAGAAGACCCAGAAGAAGTTCCTGGCTCCTGGTTTCAGATTGGCTCATCTCAGGCTGTTGTAGCCAACTGGGGAGTGAACAAGCGGATGGAAGATCTCTCTCTCTCTCTCTCTCACACTCTCTCTCTCTGCCTCTCCTTCTATCGCTGTGCAACTCTGACTTTCAAATAGATAAATAAATAAATCTTTTTTTTAAAGATTGTAGTTGTGATTTCTCAGATAAAAGCTTTGCAAGACTAGGACAAGCATTTGGCCCAACAATTGGCACTTGTTGAGATGCCTGCATTCCATGTCACAGTGCCTGAGTTTCAGACTCCGCTTAACGCAGACCCTAGGAAGCAGTGGTGACAGCTCAAGTAATTGGAATCCTGACTTTCATGTAGGAGAAATCTGGATCCAGATGGAATTCATAGATCCCAATTTGGACTCCTAGGCTTTTGTGAACATTGGGGAGTGAACCCTTGGATGGGAAAACATACACACACACACAAACACAGAGACAAAACCACTCTCTCTCCCCCTCTCCCTCTCTCTTCCTTTCTCTCTGCCTCTGTGCCTACTATATAGTTTTTTTTTTTTTTTTAAAAAAAAAAAAAAAAAAACTTTGCAGCATGGAATCTTCAGAAATCAGCAGTTGCATTAGAGATAGAACAACCTTTTACAATTGAACTTGAATATTTTACTATTGATTTAGTATAACAAATTATTTTTACTTTAAATAGTTATATTAAAATATGTAAATGAAGTGTTTGCCTTTAAAAACTAGTAAAACAAGGAAACAAATCCTACCCTACAGCCTCCAGAGAGAGCAAGGCTCTTGCTTACACTTTGATTTTCAACCAAACTGATTTTGGATGTTGAATTCCAGAAATGTAGGAGAGTAAATATATGTTTAGCCACCAATTTTGGAGTAATTTTTTTAATAGCAGACATAGGAAACTAATACAAACTGGAACATTTTGCAATTTAGCGATTTCACACCCCTAATCCCTTCTTCTCTTACTATATTAACAGTATGACTCTACTAAACTTCTAGATAAGTATAGAAAAATGAGGATGCCAGATGTCTGGCTCAATGTATAATTAAAGTGCTGGCAAAGCTATTGGCTCAGTTGACCCTCACAATCATGCGGAAATGACAAAATGTAGTGGATAGGGAATCTGGAAATAGAAAAGATCTGTTTGCAAACACAGACTGTTCTATGGAATGAAATTGCTCTTGTTGAACTCTCTAAGGTGTTTGTAAAACGAGAGTAATACAGAGTCAAATTATTCTCAGAATAAAGTAACTCTTATGTCTAAAGTGATTATCACATGTTAGATTTTAATAATGTATAGCTATAAAGGAAATAGATGGGCAATTTGTTGCTAAAATGCCCATTTAATAATGGAGGAACTTGAGCTTCTGAGATTGCTATATGGACAGTGGATTGCAGGACTGGGGCTGGAATCTGTATCTCCTAAGAAGAATCTCATAAAGTTATCTGCCACTATTTTATCAACCTAAATGTCAACTGAATGCAAAAAAGGTACAAAAAAAAAAAAAAGGTACAAGGAAAGGGTTTCTTCTTTACTGATGAAAATTTTAAGTACAAGTAAATATAAAAATATGAATTACTTGTGGTCCAAAGAAAGCTGAAACTATTACTAATCAGAATCACACTAATTTTTAAAGATTTATTTATTTATTTATTTGAAGCGGAGGTCGGGGGAGGTCCTTCATCCATTGATTCATTCTCCCTAAAGGCCACAGTAGCCAGGTCTGGGCTGGGCATCAGGCAAGCACCAGGGACTCCATTTGAGTCTCTCACATGGGTGACAGGAACTCAAGTACTTGAGACATGTGCTGCTTCCTAGGTGCAGTAGAAGGGAACTAGAAGATAATCAGGGTGGCAGGGACTTGAATTGGCGCTCCAATATGGGATGTGGGCTTCCCAAACCCTGGGTTAGGCTGCTTTGCCATGTTGCCTACCCAGAATCATAATTAAAATTGAACCTCATTGTCAAAAACAAAACCAGTTCATCTATTCCAAATCTGGGAGCCTTGTATGTAATCTTAAATCAGAATGGAATCTATAGAGAGAGTAGCTAAAGAATGAATCCTGTTTAAATTCTGATTCAAATATCTTTACGGCAGGATAACCACACTGCAATACTGAGTGAAATATTAAGACTCTCAAAAGTACAAACCAGTTGTCTAAAATAATTTTCAGTTAGTTCTTGCTAATTAAATTACATTACTCAAAAGGTGAGGGTTTTTTGACTTTTATGAGAACAATTACTTGAGAACTTATGCTCAAGTTGTTTAGTTGGGATTTTACAAAGATTTGTTTTTCTTTTTCACAGGGTTGGAGTGAAGTGATTGATGCTGTGAGGTGTATGGACTAAAGTCTGCAATACCAGTTCTGCCTTGTGAATTATAAATCTTCAATACAGGAATAGCAAGTTTCTTCTGAAAAATTTTCAGTAATTGTCCCTTTGTTGTGGGCGAGGTTGGGCCTAAATGAATTTTCCAGACTCTTCCTGTTTACTTAGAGAAGAATTCCAAGTACAGGCGCAAACGCAGAGTGCAGTGTGATAAACAGAATAATACACAGGCACATGAAGGCTTTGCTTAGGGAGAGTGGCCAGGGGAGGCAAAGGAGAATTTTGCTACCCTGCTCTGCTAGTCCTTGGTCCATAGGAAGGACAACATGAGCTTTCATTCTACCTGGCTTTTTATGAGCGTAGACACACGGAAAGTGTTAACACAGTACCACCCCTCCTTCTGCTTAAGAGAAGGTACTTCCTGGGAAGGGGTCCCCAGATTGGCAGGGAGGTGAGCACTGCAAAACAGAGTGAGGGAGGTGAGGCTTTCAGCTCATGAACTTAAGATTATTTAAGCCTTCCCACGTTACCTACATGCAAAATTATAAATACATATACTTTTTTAAACTTTTATTTAGTAAATATAAATTTATAAATTTCCAACGTACAGTTTATGGATTACAATGGCTTCCCCACCATAACTTCCCTCCCACCCGCAACCCTCCCATCTCCCGCTCCCTCTTCCATTCCATTCACATCAAGATTCATTTTCAATTCTCTTTATATACAGAAGATCAATTTAGTACATATTTAGTAAAGATTTCAACAGTTGGCACCCACACAGAACATAAAGTGTAAAATACTGTTTGAGCACTACTTATAGCATTAATTTACAGTGAACAACACATTAAGGACAGCAATCCTACATGAGGAGTAAGTGCACAGTGACTCCTGTTGTTGACTTAACAAATTGACACTCTTGTTTATGGCATCAGTAATCTCCCTAGGCTCTTGTCATGAGTTTCCAAGGCTATGGAAGCCTTTTGAGTTTGCTGATTTCGATCTTATTCAGACAAGGTCATAGTCAAAGTGGAAGTTCTCTTCTCCTTTCAAAGAAAGGTACCTCCTTATTTGATGGCCCATTCTTTCCACTGGGATCTCACTCGCAGAGATCTTTCATTTAGCTCCTCTTTTCATTTTTGCCAGAGTGTCTTGGCTTTCCATGACTAAAATACTCTCATGGGCTCTTCAGCCAGATCTGAATGCCTTAAGGGCTGAATCTGAGGCCAGAGTGCTGTTTAGGACATCTGCCATTCTATGGGTCTGCTGTGTATCCCGCTTCCCATGTTGGATCGTCTCTCCCTTTTTTATTTTATCAGTTAGTATTCACAGACACTAGTCTTGTTTGTGTGATCCCTTTGACTCCTAGACCTATCAGTATGATCAATTGTGAATGAAATTGATCACCTGGACTAGTGAGATGGCATTGGTACATGCCACCTTGATGGGATTGTATTGGAATCCCCTGGCACATTTCTAACTCCACCCTTTGGGGCAAGTCAGCTTGAGCATGTCCCAAATTGTACATCTCTCCCTCTCTTATTCCCACTCTTATATTTAACAGCGATTACTTTTCAGTTAAATTTAAACACCTAAGAATAATTGTGTGTAAATTACAGAGTTCAACCAATAGAAATACATATACTTTTCTTAAGTCCTAAGTAAAATACAATAGTTGATTCTAATACATTAAGCTTGATAATGTAATATTTAGATCATTCAGTGTAATCTTATTTAGAATTACTTAATTTTATTTTTTACTTCCAAAAATATACTGTGGTGGAATGAGAAGGCCATGCCAAGGTGGCCACTGTCAAGCGAGTGTCAATTACTCAGGAATGGCTTTAAAACCCACCTGGCAACGGAGCCTGCCTGGCAACAGGCTGTGATTGGTTGGGGCGTAGACCGCCCCTTGACCAGATTGGTTGGTCTTGGCTATATAAGATGTTGTTCCAACTGTAATAAACAAGTCTGCAGGCTGCTCGCCTCAAGCCTGCTTTCACCTGACTCCCAGGGTCTGTGTGGTGACTCCGTGCCACTTGCCCCCACCAGGCTCCTCCTCTCAGAAACGAATCCACTGCAACATTGTTGAGAAATCAATGGCAACAATATACATTTTAAAATAGAGTATGTGCAAGCTGATTTTTTAAAATAGATTCCTGTACTAACATTACTACATCATGATATTGGTTACCTAGTAGTTACACAGTAAATAATCATTGAATTCTAACATAATTCTAAAGCATATTTTCCAAACTAAGTAACAAAGAGTTCATTATTGAATTGTACATTTATTATGGTTTTGTTTGCTAAAGTATTGAATGCTGGATGAAAAGTTAGAGAATTTATACCCAAAAGGAAATTTTTGAAAATTAATTGACTTATTTACTTAAGAAAGGAGAAGTGTCAAGCTATGGGAATCTGGAGTATAAGAGTGCTTGTGCATTATTTTCGCCAATTCCAAAGTAACCAGCCAGCAGTGTGATTGGGAAAGACATGGATTTATTAGATTTAGAGGGGTGACAGATGGCAAATGATCCATCAGTAATCCACAACACCTTGTAAGAAAGGCACAGCATTAAATAGCAGGCAGTTATCAACCAGCATAGTTGATAATACTGGTCAAAGCAGCCAGGTATGTTTCCCCAGTGTTCTCAAAAAATAGACTGTCAACTCAAGGACAGGAGCCACAGCTGCAGCCCATGTCCATTGACCTTTCCAACCAGATTCTACTCAAGATGTTTACCAGTGTCTGCATGTGTGCGGGTGGTGTGGGGTTGGAGAGGTATCCCATAGGCCACCATCCAGACATAGAATGCTCTTTAATGGCAGAAAGAGAGCATTGTGGAATTGAGAGAGAGAGAGAGAGAGAGAGAGAGAGAGGAAGAGGGAGGGAGAGAGAATGTTACATCTCCTGGATTATTCCCCAAGTGCCTGCAATAATCAAGGCTAGACCAGAGCTGAAGCCAGCAGCCAGGAATTTAATACAGGTCTTCCACCTGAGTGGCAGGAACTCAACCACTCAAGTCAACAGCACTGCCTCCAATGGTCTGTATTAGTAAGTTGCTGGTGTCAGAAGTCAAATATAAATGTCAAAACCAGACATTCTGATATAGAATGCAGTCATCCCAGCTTGATTCTTAACTGGTGCCATAATGTCAAGTCCAAATGCCCACTCCCTCAAAGGGAAATTCTTCACACACTCATCAGGCCTATAAACATAAACCAACTTCAAATTCTCTCACAGTTTTATAGTATGTTTTTCTGTTTAATGCCTTAGCAACTGTCAAAACAACTTTTAAGTTGTTTTCATGAAAAGGTATATCATAATTTAAATGAAACAGCTTTAGTTTAATATCCATTATAAATTGAAATTAATTTTGTTCTATCTTTATATGAAATATTTTAAAATAGTAGGCTTTACAGGTAATATACTGAATGCTTTTCTTTTCAATGCTAGTTACAGGTAGAGACACAATGTCTGTAGTGATTAAGGAAATTGATTCTAGAATCAGAATATTAAGGTTCATATCCATGGTCACACACTTCAGGAGTGAACCTACCAATTTAGGACAGCTGGATGGAATTTTTTTACAGGAATTTCACATGAAATGGTCAACGTGGTTTGGCTTATTTTGGGAATAGATTTTTGAGATAGTTCAGGAGAGGGAACAATTTTGCTTGTGAATTACCAGCCATTGTGCAATTTGTATTTCATCAGCAAGGAATGGAATGACCTGGTGGCTAAAGTCATGTCCATAAGTGAATGGCAGCTATAGGCAACAAAAGAAAAAAAAAGTACGTTGGACTACATCAAAATTAAAAACTTGTGCATCAAAAGACTTAATTGACAGAATAAAAAAGCAACCTATCAAATGGGAGAAAATACTTGCAAATCATATATCTAAGAAGTTGATATTCAGAATGAATTTAAAAAAAACTCTAAAATTTAACAGCAACAGGAACCCTGTAACCTAACTTAAAATGGATATTTGTCCAAAGATTATGTGCAAATATGTAACAAGGACATGAAAAGATGCTCAGTATTACCAGTAATTAGGAAAAATGTAAGCCAAAAGAATGAGATACCCCTCACATCCTTTACTGACATTAAAAAAAAAGAAAATAATGTCAGTGAAGATGTGAAAAATTAGATCACTTTTGTATTGGTTGGAACATAAAGCATACTTTGGACAACAGTATAGAAATTCTTCAAAAAATTAACAATAGAATTAGCTTGCAATTCAGCAACTTCACTTTTGATTATACACCTGACCATACTGAAAGCAGATTCTTGAAGAGATATTTGCACGTCTATGTTGTTAGCAGCATCTTTCATGATAATCCAAAGATGGGAGCAACTCAAGTTTCCACTGGCAGAGGAAGAGATAAATAAAGTATGCCATGCACACACACACAATATGGTACTATGCAGCCTCAAAAAGGACATCTGATAAATGCCTAGGCATGATTGACTCATGGATATTATCCTCAGTGAAATAAGCCAACTGCCCCCCTGCCTCCCAAAAGTGCATGATTCCCCTTAAAGGAGGTAGGGAATTCTAGAGATAGGAAGTAGAATGGTGGTTGCTTGTGGCTAGGGGGATGAAGGAAAGGGAAATAGTGCTTAATGGGTACAAAATTTTAGTTTTGTTGTTTTCTTTTAAAGATGAAAGGTGTTCTAAAGATCAGTTGCACAACAATGTGAATGTACTGAGTACTGAGAATTTTTATACTTAAAATGTTTGAGGTGCTAAATTTTGTGTTGTGTGTTTTTTATTATAACTTAAAGAAAAAGACTATTTGGGGGGAAGTATTCTGGAGTCATGTATTTGGAAATGCCACAGTAAAAAGTCCCCAGCAATACCAGGTAATTTCTTGAGCCTTCTCTGCCTCAGTTTTCTTGTGTTTAAAATATTAGCACCTTCCTTTCGTGATAATGGGTTTATACATATAATATCCTACAACAATTCCTGTTGCATAATAGCACTATAATACTGCTTGCAATAACTATTTATATTTACAGGAAATTATTTTATCAGTAGAAGATAACAGAGAGAGAAATCGGTGCATAGCAGCAAATGTGGCAAAAATCTTCAAAGCTGGGTCATCATCTCTGAGCATCAAAAGAGCTATGTACGGAAATAGTCTTTATCAATTGATAGCAAGCCTTTTTTTTCTCCACACAAGTAATCTAACTTAGCTTTCAAAATACTAGTGACAATATTATCAGCAGTACCTTAATCCAACATTCAAATTTAAGTTTTAATTTTTTAAAAATTTTAAATTAAAGCAGCCTTTCATCCCAATTTGACTTCTGTTCACTCACTTTGCGAGACGTTTCCATGAATTTTATGTGCGTGTGCGAGCATCCTGAGGAAAAAATATACTGCTAATAATATTTTCAGAGAAGGTGAGCTTAGGAAAATATTACTTGCTATTGAATAACTTTGGTATTTGGTAATCAGCTGTGGGGTCATGAGATGGCCCAGAGAGTAATTCATAGCTAAAAC